CTAAAAATACTTACCTTACAAGGTTTGTCAAAGGTCACCTGAGAACAGCCTCAACAGCCCAGCCCAGCAGTCTGGGATGAACTGCCATTTCACTAAGGCAGGATGTTTGAGCCTGGCTGTTTATTTAACTCCCTGAAGACCAAGTTATGACCCAGTTTTTTTCTTCTCTATGAGCAAAAAGAAAGCATCAACTTTCACTGCCATTACTGTGCTTTCCATCAGAAGAGATTTATTGATCTCAGAATATGAAGGCTGTAACAGATAAAAGGAGAAAAATTGACTTCAGATTTTCATAAACTGTTTGTCAAATCACTGTCGCGAGCAGCTGTTAAAGTAGTAGGCAAGAGGCTAGCAGTGAGGATCTGAGCTTCTTTCTGCATGGGAGAAGGATCGCTGTGTCTTCATTAGCAGGTAAAAAGAACAAACAGTAGGGATGCACCAGACAGAAAATGGATGAAAACTAGAGAGTGATTGTCACAAGTTTTGAAGGAATCCAGCATGCAAATGATGGGGCTGCATCAAGGCAGAATTTGAACATAACTGCAGACAGGGAAAGACACAACGTGGTGGACTTGGGATATTTGCTGCTATAACTATTGAAAGCGTCAGAAAGCATAACAGAATAAATGAGAAAAGACTGGATGTCTTCTGCCTGGCAGAACACCACAAATGCATGAACTCCCCAGAAAGCATCACGACATAAAGCAGGTCAGAGTGAGACAAATTCCTGGCAGGGCTTTTGCACTTCCCCCTCAAGAATCTGCATCCAGTTGCGTGCAGGTTACATGACTCCAGGCTCCTGCTTTCATGTGACCTTTGATGCTCATTTGGGTGACTGCAATTACCTTATAAAACTATGGGGGAGACCCAACAGACTACAAATCAAAGACTGTGTTTTGTTAGAGGAGAATCAGTCCACTCCATACAGAGCTATTTCAAGGAGATGAAGTGATGTTCAACATGCTGATAAAATTAGGAAAGTATAGCAATGTTTCTAAATCGGTAATTGAAAGGCTGCAATATAAACTAAAGTCCTGATACATGGGAGATTCACTGTTAATGCTCAAGTAATCAAGATCTAGAAAACCTTAAGCTTCTTCAATTACACTGCATAACTGATTTGTATTCTTTTTATTTAGATTGAACTAGCTGATCCAGATGGTGTTTTAGCAGCGGCCCAGGCAATGTTTGATGACAGCCAAAATTAATAACCGGATGTCGAAGAAAAAAAAAAAAAGATGTGAGATAAGAACACAGTCCTGGGCTACTTATTCATTTGAGTCTCAAATCCACAGTGGTCTTGTGGTCTGCCTCATTTTTCCCTCAAGGCTGCCTGTGTATGCTTCACTGTGCAGGTGGCTTTGCTCAGAAGCCTCCTCCCACCCCCTTATTTTGGAAAAAAAAGAAAAAGAAGAAAAAGAAAAAAAGGAGAAAAACCAGAAGCAGCAAAACACAGGAAAATAGGTAAAGTGACTCTTTGCCCACCTCCTCTGATTCCTTCTTCCTGTACAGAAACAGCACTTCTGTTGGCTTCAAGGTCTTTCACATTGCCTCAGAGAAGAAGCAGGGCTTCTATTACATGCTATAAAAGCAAAGCCCTAGAAAAGTACAGGCTAATAATTGTCCCCTCCCACTGCCCCCAAGCTCAGCCCAATACATCCCTATGACCCATCATTTGGTCCCTTGACTCTTCATGTTTTCTAGGCTGAATGATAACCTACTTTTCTATTTAAGTACTTGGAGAGAATAACAAAAATACAACATGCTTGGCCCCGAGATTTAAGCAGTGCTGACAGGAGCAAAAGCATGTCAGCTACGTTATATTCTTTATATCTGTGTGAACAGGGAATTTTATCTTTGTATTATGACTGAAATGAGTAACTGAATACACTGAAGACACCCTCAGAAATACACAGGATTAGCACAATATAGCTGAAGAGATAAGGGATATAGAGAAAATAAGCATATTTTAGGCCTCTAGATATCAAATAATCAGCAACAACTAAGTATATTTTATTTCACTGAATTATTTTATATCTAAATAAGTGATATACAGTAACCAATGTTTAAAATGCTCGAGGTAAATACAGAACACCGTTAGTATAAATAAGGGATAAAAAACAAATTCTAAGTGCACTCTTAAAGTTTAGATCCAGGTGTTTGGGTCTGGTTACTGCCTTTGGCACACAGTTATGAGACTGTGCCTGAGGTGTAACTTTCACAACCATTTCCACAGCTGGAAAATGAGAGAAACATACTCGATAACATGGCTTAAAGTATAGAAAATTGGCAGAAAAGCAGCTGTAATAACAGCGCCATTAGCTCAGAACCTACCAGCTGAGAAAGTTTAAAATAAGGTTGTCCCACTAGCTTCTAATTCTGTATTTCTTAAGCAAAACAATCCCCACACACAATTCTGTCACTTTGAAAAGATCCATAAAATAAGAGATTCTCAGCTACTATCCAGGACAGCAAGTAATATTACAAAATAAACTTGGAAAATATATTTTCTGGACTTCCATTCAAAATAATCTAACTTTTAAATATAAAATTTATGGACAGAAGCATAATTTTTAAGCCTGGCAGCACCCTTTCAACCATTTGCTCCAGGGTGAATATTGAGTCAGGTTTTCCTTCTCTACTGCAGGTGCTTAATAGTCTTTTTTCCCCCAAGACAGGACTAGTATTCCAGTAAAGGACGGGAAAATACATTTTGTGCCTACCACCAAGATTTTGTGTTTTGGAATGCTGCTTCATTAATGCCTTTACTAATATAATCCTTCCAGTGCTCTGTGAATGGACACCTGTGGGACTGTAGTCATAATTTGCACCATCAGCAGATTTGCATCAGTAACAGAATACACTTGAAGCATAACTTAATGGCAGAGCTAGAGAAAACCCAGCTTGGCATCTGTATGCCAGAAGGACTTGTGAAAACAGCAAGTGGAAAGCGGTTTTCTGCTTGTAAACCAAGAATGCTGCTGAAAAAAAGAAAAAAAAAACCCACCATTTTTTTGTGGTTATTTTTCAGAATACAAACACACCCCAGGTAACCTTGTCAACACCTCCCACCGCAGTGGTGCTGACATGAGAAATCAGTCCCATTTGCTTCACGATGGTGCTTCAGTAGTAAACACACCCTGCCACCCTCCCTCTGTAGACACATCCAACACTTTGTAAATATGTTGGGATAACCCGACATGGAGGTTGGGTGTAAGAGTCCATGTTCAAGGCTCAGTCAAGTATAGCTGCACTGTATTTTCACGTGCACTCCTGTCTCATTTCAAAATCCCAGGTTTCTATTCCACAGTGTTAGCTACAGTAAGGAGGTCAAGTTTTGTTCCATTAGACTTGAAACCTGTCTCAGTTTGTGTTCAAAAAACGGCTTTTACCCATTAAAGCCCAAAGCTGCTCCACAGAAGAACTGCATTCCAAAAAATTCCACTTCTAGACATAGCCAAAATTACTGAAGCAGCCCAGGACAACTGCTGCAATCATTCTGGGACAAACCTCTTATCTAAGAGACCAAATGGAAGTTTTTGCTTAAAGAGGAAATAAAAAACTGACACAGTAGCCTTGCTGTCACAGACGTGTATGTCTGAAAGTAAGTAGCAATATTAATTACAAATAATCTACTTTCATAAATAAATCTACGTAGAGAAAAGTAGTCTTCCAGATCCTTTGGAAGCAAAAAAAATGTGTAACAAGTTATTAAATACAACACTTCAGCAAGAAGATTTTTTCTAAACAAGGAAGACCAAGGCATAGCTAATTACTTGGGAATCCAACGCAGAGAAAGCACCTTTTGCTGCTTATATCTGAGGATTTATTAAAAATATATTTTTTATATAAAAGTACAAAATAGTTACTACTTTGGCTTGGAAAAAAACACAGCAGTGGTTCTGATTTTCAAGAAAAAAAAATTATCCAGTGATAATTTCCATCTAGTTCCTTCTTTTTAAAAAAAGATTCCTAAATGGGAAACAGGCAAATCTATCTCTCCAGATAGTACGTGCCAGCTCATGAGAACTTAAAAACAGTTATTGCTTTTATTTTCTTCCAAAGAAGAGTAGAGTCTCATTCCTACTCATGTGGCCATACCACATCGCAGTAAGACTAGTCATGGGTGTTTAGCAAGTTATAAAACGTGTAACTGCTACGGGAAAAAGGCGCTGGAGAAATCAGTAAAGTAATAATTACTTGGCAGCAAAACATACTGGGGAAAGTGGTGGGAAAGCTTTCACTTCTACCATCTGTCAGGCTTTCTAGAGAGAACAGTGCTAGCACTGAAACCAAGTGCTAATTGCTGCACATCCCAAGTAATTCGTATCATGCTATGCAATATGGATTGGACAAGCAGTATCTTCTAGTAAATGCCAACATCAAATAAAGAGAAGGAAAAAAAAAAAGCTTCTCTATGCATCCCTAACAAATACCCAGATTTACAATGTTATTTTCCATGTATTTATACAGCCACCATTCAGCATTAACAAGAAGCAATCTAGACAGTGCTCATAAGAGGAGGGATGCACGTGCAGTGCAAGAATACCCACCCCACCATCCATTTCTTCAGATGTCAGACAGACATTGTTTTATGAAAGGAACATTATTTTTTCTCTCTGAAGTGTTAGAATAACATTTACAATCTCTCTTTAAACAGTAATCAACAGTTTGACCAGTTCATCCACAGGGGTGTTGACATAACAAGGCAGAAGCAGAATAGTGGGTTTACAGGTTTATGCAAAATGGGTAACAGCTGAGGAGACAGCATCACCTCTGTGATCCAGCTGATCCTGGAGCCGTGCAAATTCAGCAAGTTCATTCAGTTCTTGAAATTGCCTGTCTGTTTTATGGCTCACCAGTGACCTATAGAAGTGGACTGCAAAAACAATGAAAATCAATCCAAAGGGAACCATGATAGATGTTGATGCAATGGCTGCTGCCTGTCCTGATGTGATAGTAGAACTGTTGCTCTGGAGCTGATTATCAGTTTTCTTTAAAGGAAGAAACTTCACCCAACACAGTAGCACCACCTCAGCAAGAAAGAGCAAAGTCCCAATGACAGTAGAAAATGCCCATGCAAGCTCAATGTGCCGATGCATACGCTCATGAGGAGATTCCTTTACAGAGTTGAGATTATGCACGTTGCTAACAGCCTCTATATTTGGAAGAATGCAGGTACTTATCATGAGTGCAAAAAGGTGAACTGCAACAAGGACAGTAGTACAGGCACTGAAGGCTATCAGGAGACCTTGAGGGTAGTCATGATCTGCGTCTAACTGAACTTCTACCATAGCCACCTGAAAAGGAAAGGAGAGAGAGAGATGCAATTACCTACGTTACATATTATTTGACTATAGATGATTTAATTTTATCTTCCGGAAACACAATTTAATCTGATCCAAACAAAGTAATAGGCTGCATTTAAATTTCTCTTCATGTCAATTTGCACCCTTCTCATTAGGCCCAGATTTAGGTCTGAGCTATCAAGCAAAGGCCATGGTTTTCATATTTACTGTTCTGTTGCAGAGCAAACCATCAGTACACACAAAAGCGATTAACAGCACAACCACCTTGCCACCTCCAGCTCATCCCAACAGAACAGCGCGACTTTGTGATCAACATACTTGGACTCTTAAAATGAAACATTTCTTCTTTCCTGTGTTATATGGTAGAGGCAGCTTTTGATCTTTCACTATACATTATAAATTTTGCTGGGTATTAGGAAATGTTTTGTGCCCCATACATATGTAGAATGAATACCATATGAAGTCTTCTGAAGTAGGTATCTATAACATGAAAGCCTGCAAAGGCAGCAGACTGCCCATCACAATCTTGGTGGTCCTTTCTCCTTGGGATATTTGGTTTTAAGTTCTGAAGAGCAGGAGCCTTTCATTAGAAAGATCACCTTTCCACAGGGCTCTCAGCTATATTCTTTCACTCAAAATAAGTATTTAAGCGCAGACCCTAGAACACAGATTCAAAGCATTAAAGTCTCCACAATGTCCATGGCAGCCAAACAGGCCTGTTAAGAGGGTGGAGGAAAGACAAACAACAGTCTCCTAGAAGAGATAATCTAGAGGGCTCCCAGACATCACTAGCTACTCTCACTTTGGAAGCTCTGTCTAGCCTCACCTCTGGACAAGCGGTGCCATCTCATGCAGATGCTCCAAGGTCCAGTCCTCCACTATTGTATGCAGCTATGCCCTTTTATAAGCTTAGATCTCCAAGCATGCCTGTGCTTAGGGAACAGGAATTAGCACTAAATAACAGCACTAGGAAACTCATAAACCCAGCTCAAATATTTTTTATAAAGAAAATTAACTAAAATGCCTTTTAATAATTTTTTAAAATGTCAGGTGGTTTTATGCATGTGCAATTTGATGAGTGACATTAGTCCCAGCAGCTCTCTTGAAAAATAATCTTTCCTGATAAATTTGCCTTTCAGACAAAGCACAGTTCCAAACAGGGAATAATGCAACAATGCCTCTATATTTAATCCTCTTTCTCACAGGATCTCATTAAACAGACAAAGTATGTTTAAAATGCAATGAAAAAAAAAATCTAAAAGCAATCTTAAATATAAACACATCTACGCCATATAAAGATGACACAGAGACTGCCATTCAGCACAGTTCAGACTGATGCACACCAGCCCTTTCTGCACCTTGGCTTCCCACTCTTGATCCTTCATTGAAATGACTCAACTTGCTAGCCCAGCAAAAGCTACCCTGGTTAAGAAGTGGCTGTCTTCTAGCTCAGTGAGCCAAGCTGTTTCTGCAATGCCTCTGATGAAGAACGAAGCTGGGACAGGCCCATGTGACTGAGGAAGCAGTTGTACCAGTACCTCAGACTCTTGGTAGCACAGAGCTATGAGTTGAGCTCTTCTGTAACACATCTGTTTGCCCTTAAAAAAAAAAATCAGCTCTTGAGCCCCACCGATACAGGTTTAGCCCATCACCACATGACATTATTAATGGTTTAGACAGTACTCGGCCTATAGCATACCTTTCAAACACCTCAATTCTCATCAAGCTGATATGAAGAAAATTTCATGAAGTGTGGGTAATATGGATGCAGGGAGACATAGAAACCAGGACCCAAAGACAGCTGCAGGAACAGTAAGAACATTCAGACCTCAGTGTTTTGCAAGAGCTGAGCCAAGCTACACCTAGTCTGGGATCCCATCTTCTTACGCTCCCAGAACCAGCATGTTCCAGGGCACCACCAACTGCTAACACACTGAATATATTAAGCCAGCTGAGAGTTTTGCTCAGACGTGTTTCAACAGGCATTCAAGGCCATTTGCCAATGTTTTAATACCTTTATTGAAAGCTTTTACCGTCACAAGCCTAACCACCCAGCCAACTAGCAGTTTCCAAGTGTTACAAGAAACTCAACAAGAAATTATAATAATGCATATACCATTCTTGCTTGAATATTTAAAAATACCATTTCTCAACCATGGGAAACTTCACATTTGTGAGGATAAACATTTGGTTGTCGGGTCTCTCTTCTGCAGAATTGCTTGTTAGGTTCCGGTGTACTTGTGGGATGTTTGGCTTCCTGTGTTTTTCACAGAACAATCGCAATCCTCCACCACCAAGGACTCACTTGCGTACTTATCAAAGTTTTTTCTTGTAAATTTTCTGATGTATGTCTAGACTCAAAACCATCCAGCATGACAAGCCATTTTAATCCTTTATTCTACTACTTATTGTGTTAACATAACCATGACCCTAAAGAGCTTCACAAGATGAAGACTTTATTTTCTTCTAAAAACTGATGTATTTAATTTGCCAAATATTGAAGACATTTTATATTTCCATTAATCAATGTCTCCATGCAATAACAATATCAAGCATCTGATTTTGAATTTCAGTCAGATTCTCTTAATTTCAATGTACCAGCTGTCCTGAGCTCTCTTACCATTTCAACAGAGCATCAAGAAGACATCTTTTCTTCCTCTTCCTCGCCTAGCCTGAGCTAAAAAGAAATGCTAAATAATCACATTTAATCTGAATGTACCTATTTCTGATTTGGCTATAATTATATGCATGGTCAAAACAAAATCTTGCAAGAAATCAGCTTAATTTAAGCAGTATTCAAATACCCAAACAGCTCTGTGCCTAGATAACCGCTGACAGAATCATAGGGACAACTAACTATTAAAAGGAGGCATCCAGACAAGGAATCCAAATTTTCCTGGGTTAAGAAGACTTAATTTTAACATTGCTGGGCATTTCCCTAAAAGAGTGACCCCAGGAGCACCTACAACCATTATACACTGATAGGATAGCTTAAGCCTAAGTTCGAGCTACGCAAGCAAGGCTTCAGTTTATGTGACTGACAAGGACAGTAACACGGACTGCTTTGCACAGGAAGCTTGTTGGTATACCCCAAATCATCCCTCAGAAGAGGAGCTTTCTGAAATCCAGCAAGGCTGTAGCTGTGACTTAAGACTTGTCACAATTTACCCCATGAGCAGGAAGGGTGTAACTTCCTTCAGCCCTGATGCTAAACACCAAGGGAGCTCGGTGTTAGGAATGACACTTGAAGTTGTCTAAGTCATACTTGGCTATCCTGCCAACACGCAATACAGCCTCCTCTCCACAGCTGGAACCAAAGAGAAGACTATTAGCTGCACCAACCGCTGGGCCAGGAAATATCCTACACCAAAGTGAGTAACAGAAATGCTAAAAGGGAGACAATATCCGCCTGCTTTGAGGGAAAGCATCACAATTTACCCACTTGGGAGACTACAGCGGCTGGAAAAATAATTCTACTGATGCTGAAAGGATCACAGCTTTATAGGCTCAGCCCTCCAAAGGATGAGTGTAAGGGACCCCCACTTTGAACATCCAGGGTAGACTTACAAGGCAGACACATCAGGTGCAGCTCCACAACACACTGACAACTCTTTGCAGACCATAAGTTCTCCAGCAAGGGAGCTTGATGGTTTTCTAAAACTGATCAGTGACAAAATGTGATAGAAGCTAGAGGGCATATGCATAAGAAACAAAAGACACGAGAGAGTTTTTCACCATGGGTTCACAGACAGGACAGAAAAAAATTATGCTGAAGGTAATTAGCTGGACAGACACCTGTAAGCAAAGAGAATATGCACTAAATTGCAGTTGTAACTGACACTGGTCCTAGAAACACTCCAAAATCAGGAGTAGGGGAAGCAAGAAAACACTTCTTTTTCCCATTCATTCCGGATGAATAGATACTTCATAACTCGCTTCAAACAGAGACTTTTTGGGAGGCTGTAGGATGCAGCATGCCTGAAGGATTTCAAAGCCTACTGAAGTTGATGGAAAGTCTCAGGAGGGGGCACAGCAAAGCCTCCTTGTGTTCATGCCTGGCTGAGTAACTCCAGCTTGACCCAAGTGAAAAATCAGTTCATGTTTTCTGTCTCCTCAAACTGTCAAGGAAGCTAATTTGGGAACCTTTTCACTGTAAACTAGCAGAAAAACTGCCAACTCTTTTTTAGTTGCAAGTCTCTGTTCTTTACTTCCTGGGCCAAGCTCGAGCCAGGCACCTAAAACAAAAAGCTCCATTTTTCATTATGAGGCCCTGTGCCTGTTTGCAAACAGTGATGCAAAGCATCAGAAGTTCTTCTCTCCTTTGCTCATGCTGCGATTTCAAAATGCACAGATCACAACTGCTCTTGTAAGGTAACACTTCCAAAAACGGGGCACTGGTGAGCTCACCTGCTATGATCCAAATCCATACAAAGCCTGAACTCATAGGTACACGCTGACGTTCCATGCAGGAGGATGTTTTCCTGTGTCCGCTGTTAGGTTTCTACGCTGGTTCAGAAGACAGGCCCCTTTGGGCAGGAGCTGTCAGTGATGGCTGCACAGTAACCAACACAACATGTTTCAGCACCTTCTCCTTCACCACTTTCAAAGCTTCTCTAAACACTTCCTGCATGATTTCTACTGTGCAGCTCCCATGCTGCAAGCATCCTGCCTCCCTGCATAATCGTAGAGTAACATAGGTTGGAAGACACCTCAAGAGGTCATCTGGTCTAATCCCTGGCTCGAAAAAGAGCTAACTTTAACTTCAGATCATCCTACAGATATGACTGACAGATTTACTACAGCCCTTGACAAAGCTGTAAATCTAAAATACAGCTTCTTGACAAAATTAAAGGACTCCCGTGATGTTAGGATGCAGGACTGCAGCTCTCATAAGCCTAAAGGTGAGCATTCAGGTGTTTTCAAAGAGAACTGAATTTGGGCACACAATCGTGTTAAGGCTTCTAACAGCCCTCAATTTCAGAGTCATGGCAGCCTGAGCACTACCATATTGCAAGAAATTTAACAGCTTGCCCTCTAGAAGAATCTGCATTTCTATTTTATTTAATACCCTGAAGTTCATTTCACTTCCTTGTGTATAATGCTTCCATGTCTTATTAGACCAGAGTGGCTTAGCAGAAGCTCCTGCTTTTAAATTAAAATCAGAATCCTGAATGCTCTGAAGGTTTCTATCCACACAAGACCACTTACACAGTGCTGACTAATAATGACTCCATCACTTTGCAAGAAGTGAGTTTTGATACACTAATAAAACAATTTTTACCAGCAATAAGAATATAAAGAACCAGACACATACATAGCTACAAATGAAGCTCATATTGCTACCAAAATGCAAGAGAAACAACTGTCCTGGTTTGTCACTCGATTTTTACCACAGCAGCAAGACAGAAATTAATGACTTGCTTCAAATTTTAGCATTTTTCCCCAGTTTTGTAAGCTACTAGATAGTATATTGACTTTACTTAGGTTGGTTTTAATTCCAGCATAATGCAAGCTTCAAATTCAATTCCTGTTTTAAGATAGGGGTTTCTGAAATAAGAAGTGTCCAGGGAAAATAAAACATTACAGACAACGATCAGAAGGAAAACAAAAGGAAAAATTGTAGTAAGAGCCACCCACGGAGCAGGTCATATTGACACTCAAGACTTTCAACACACAAAAAAGGTCACTGCTCTTTGTTATCACACGTAATAGCAACAGTGGTGAACAGAGTATCTGACAGCCTTCTGACTTAATCACAGCCTTACATCGTTTCCAGAATCAGTACCCACTGCTGAATAGAAAAGGAAATAAAATGCCTTATCTCAAGTAAATCTGTATTCTCTATGAGCTATTTATAGATGACTTCCTCTCCTCCCCTTCCCTGCAAAGATGACTGAGCTCTGGAACATAACACGGGCTGGGAGTCTGTGCTTTAACTGCCATACAATCTCTCATGGTATCAAATATAAGCATTAACACACGGCTGTGAGTCACGATCGAGTTCAGCATGGATTGACAGTTTCAAAATGGACAGAGCCACAGCTAATTCAAAGTCTTCACCACTTCTCCACTAGATGCCTGATTTTAGTTAAATACATTCTGTAACCAGTCAGCAACTACTGATAGCCCTGCAACGGGATGACTGTAGATTTGTCTCCTGTACCTCACAAGATGTTCTCTGACCAGCATAGAGGTCCAATGACAAGTGCCCTCCTGTCCTTGTATCTGACACATTCAGACAAGAACCACAGAGCAAGAAACCAATCTTATAAGAAGTTACTAGGTTTAAATACAGACAATCTTGTAAAGACCTATTTAATGGGCTACTTTGAGAAACACTGGCTGTCGGTATGACCACATTCTCACTATGCACTGCTCATGCAGTTAGCTGCCTTACAGGCTGCAACAAGCAAAACCCCTTCAGAAAGGGCAATGTCAGCTTCAAACATCAGTTTTACTAAAGAGACCAACCACCTCCTGATGCAGACAAGTCTGGAATTATCTGTATACCCTTGACAGATTGTTCTCACCTCCTCTTCCCTGGCCACAGCTACCATTCCTAAATAGGAAACTGATTAAGAGGACAAGACAATTTTTATGCAGTCTAGCACATCAGGAATGGCTTAAAAGAAAGCTGTGTTGATCATAAATCACAGGTGCATTTTGTAAGGGTCCATCAACACAGTGAGAGGAGGATGCAAATCGTATTTGGAAAACTGTTTCAGTGCTACAACACCTTGACCTCACTGGCTCAATACACACCAAGGCAAAACTGCACAG